ATGTTATAATAGCAGAAAAAGAGAAATACTAGGGAAACATCCTGACACTGAAAATGAAATAATAATTAATGTCACTTTTGTTTATCATTTTAAGTAAGTAAGCCATGAAAGTGTTTTCTGTTGCAAGGTCAATATATCAAATGTCGTTTGAATTGATGAAAAAAATTGTCAACTCATAATTTTCCTTCAAATTCTCTTTCTTGTGGTACTTAAAATACAATTGAGCGATTGTTATGTCAGGGCTGCAAGATTACCCGAAAAAGTGAATCAGTACTCAACCTTTACGCTATAAAACGAAGTCATATCTTGTAATTGCTGAGAACCTTCATCACATTGCGTTTAAATCTTTTATTATTTATGAGTTTAGTGCAGCAAATGTTGTTGTAATGAATAAAATATCAAGGTGCACAATATATTTTATAGGACATTTAAGGAATTATAATTTAATACGTGGGTCACTAAGAATTGGCGAAGCTATGTTTATATCACTATGAGTTATATACTCTTAGTATTCAATTTAAAACCAAGACTATTACTAATAAGCATAAAATATTACAAAAATTGACAGAGAATATTTCAAATAAAAATGTAAAATATTGACAAAATAAAATAAACGATTCATAGATTAAAAAATAGTCAAATATGTAAACGTTATTGGCAAATTATGCCATAAAAATGCTTTTATTTCTCAAAGTTTTTCCGCAGAAAGCCGGTCTGTTTTCAGCTTGATTTACTGTAAATTTACAATTTGAAGGGTTTTCACTGGTCATTTTAAAAATACAAAATGAAATCTGGGAATCTCACTTGCCATTCCCAAACAAAATGTTAGGGATAGTTCTTGTCATTCTTATCTATGTATGTGTGTTTAGACTGACCAACAGAATTATGCCGCAGAAATCAATGGTACTTGATCCTTATGAAATGTTAGATATTTGTTTAAATAAATGATATTTTGATAAATGGATTTAAAGCATCTTAAATGCCAAAAGATGGAAGAAAGTAGCAATAAATGTACTGTAATGCAGTGTGAAGGTAGTAAAATGTAAACAAAGTAATAATATGATTAATATTTCAAAAAGTACAAAACATAATAACATTTCAGGGGCTCATGGGCCTTTAAAGATTTTTGTTTGAACAATAGCACTTAGATGAAGTCTACGCATTGACTACGTTAACACTTTGATAACATACTGCCGTCGTTAATTTAAAAATAAATTACGTTTCTAATTTCCATATTCAGATCAAATGAACGCGCTAAAACGAGTTTTAATTGGGACAGTGGACTTATATTCTTATATGATGTCATTTTATTTTGGTATAGTCCTTACGTGACAACATAACACACAGTGAAGGATAAAAACTATTGCAGTCGTGCAGAGGGTTTTGACAGCATTTTTACTAAGATCATGAAAATATAAATATAGTTATAAACCTATACAGGAATGATCCTCGGAAAATCCCCGTGTAAAAACGTTCATTTGTTAATGTCCGCTGTACAAAGACGGCTGGCATAGCTAAAAGTAGAAAACATTTTAAACGATATCTTCTCATGAATCATTAAGTAGATTTTGATGAAGCTATAGAAATGATCAATAGGAAACCTTGAACAAACAGTTCTCAAATTGTTTTGGTCTATTGATGAATATTGCCGCCAGAGCTGAAAATTGAAAAAGGTGTGTCAAACATCCAACATATTTTGATGAAACTATTTGACAAAATCATTTGACTATAAACGTAGGAGTCTATAAGTCCTACAAAGGACTTCATAGGTCCTACATAGGAGTTAAAAAAAACCTAATTAGGAGTTTATAACTCCTACGTAGAACTTTAAGAAAAGCTTGCTCGACAACAAGCATTGAAGTGTCTAAAATATATATATTATCATAATTTTAAAAAGCTTTAAATATTACATTTTCCATACGAACTAGCTAAACAAAACGAGCATTTATCCATTTTTGCCTATTTTGAATGATTAAGTCCTTAAAGGGGGCAGGGGGAGGAGGTTGAAGTGTCTTGTTCAAGCTCTGGCAAAGTGCGATTTGTGAAGTATTATGCATGCATCAGTTTAAAAATGAGTAACATCCTAATTTGAAAAAAGTTTAACCCGTACATTTTTGTAAAATCAATATAACTAAAAGTACATAATACAGAATCATCGTTTAATATATATAGAGAATGACATCTTTGGTGAGTTCAATTTTCGGAACTAGTTGTATGGCTCACAATAATTCAGATTATTGAATTCTGGTTATTTTGCTCAAATCATCTCTGGCTTAAGAATAAGGGTATTCAATAAAGCGGTTGCAAAAAATAAAATGTGGCACATATAATTCATTTGCCTACATAATATGCTATCCTATTAAGTTATACTCTAGCATACATGTCCGTCGCACTCTGTGCTTTCAGCACTTTGATATGTATCCTACGAAGAAGTTCTAAAGTCCTAATAAGGCTTTTTTATTTCCTACGTAGGAGTTATAGAGCCCTAATTAGGCTTTTTTTTATCTCCTACGTAGGAGTCATATAGTCCTACGTAGGACTTATAAACTCCTTATTAGGTTTTTTATCTCCTATGTAGGAGTTATGAAGTCCTACGTAGGAGTTATAAAGTCATACATAGGAGTTAGGCTTTTATATCTCCTACGAGGGAGTTATAAAGTCATACTTAGGAGTTAGAAAGTCCTATGTAGGAGATACAAAGTCCTTCTTTGGACTTATTAAGCCCTAAGTAGAAATTATAAAGTCCTACGTAGGAGTTATAAACTCCTAATTAGGCTTTTATATCTCCTACATAGGAGTTATCTTTATTTCATAGAACATGTTAAATTGGCACTAGGATGTTCCGTATTTGAAGTCTTTTATTCCAGTTGCTGGAATTGTTTTTCTTGCTATTTGCTAAACTACCGTTTGCACCAGATTACCCCCATGAAAGACAAGTCTCGTGCTTTAAATGATGTCATCCCCGTGCGCCTTTTATGAATGAATTGCATTCTTAGACTGACGTCATTTTATTGTTATAATTGAAGTTGTAAATTCATACGCTACTATAAGAAAAAAGTGCTAAATGAAATTATCAGTTTCGTAATTTCTTGCTCAAATCTCTCTTTTAGCCAGAAAAGGATTTTTATAAGAACTTTGGTGATATTGCAGAACAATTTATATTGCAACCTGTCCACTCTACAAACTCTTTAAATTAGTTAAGTATTTGAATTACTTTAAGCTCATTATTTAAGGGATTTTAATTAATCAATATACAAGAAACAAGTTGCTGTTTGATACAGACTGTACAGGATATTTACTAGTGTGACAAAGGCTAATCGCACCCAGTTTGACCAGTTTTATGATGAGTGTCAAGGTGATAAAATGCAAATTACATTAAAAGTACAGCGGAAAAATACATTATTTTTTCTTCAGAATACTTGTTCCAAATAGTTACCATCTTTAAATTTGCATTCCCCCAGATGAGCCAAGAAATTTCAAGAAAATAAACGTTGTGATAAATGTACTACATATTTAAGAAAAGTACAATTATTGAGTAAATAAGTAACATGTTATATGCAATTAATTACTAGTTTTGCAGTATTTATCAAAATATTCCTGTTGTGTCACTAAATGCTTTTTTTATATGCTGACCTTTTTTTGGTAATTTTCGTAGAATTTAAGTGAAGTTTGCATTGTGTAAATAACATTCTTAGTTCACTTGGCAATATTTACTTTTTAAAAAATCCGTGAAGTATAACATGAATCTGGAGAAATTCTGCTTTTATAAACATATAAACATGCATTATTATTCTTTTTCTTCTTCTTTTCCTCTCCTTTTTTCTTTTATTTCCTTTTTGTTGTTGCTTTATACTTATACATCCCATATTAATGCTATCAAACAATTTTTGTTTTACAATTGAAATACATTTCAAGTCACATCAAATTATACATAGCCGACGAAAAAACTTACACATGTATTAAGATAAAATATGGAATACTTGCTTTTCAATTAGACAATTAAAAAAACATCTTTTATACGAAAACTTTCTTCCGTCTACGCTACATAAGTTCAAAACCATTGACCTTCTTCCAAGGATGGTCAATAAGGTCGGATCTCCATCTGCCAATCATTGACAAATATTGTTCTTCCTGTTTCTAAATCCACTTATCCACTTATAATTGATATGTATTCGTTAATCTTCCTGTTTGAGCAATGAGATCAGATGGATTGAGCAATCAGCTTGTCAGGTTATTTTAATATCATCAAGGAACCGTGTTGAAAACAATGTCTAGCGTGTCCGATTTCTTGTCACATTTCTTCTTAAAGTCTGTTTTACTTATGCTTCTTTAAAACTGGTAAAATATTTAGTCTGATGTACTTACTAGTAATAGACGTTATAACTATATGTAGTACTTACTAGTGAAACGCGAGCAAAGGAACTACTTGTTTGATTTAACGATACATCTTTTCTTCCAAATAGTAACCGTTTTCATGACCAGTGCTGAAATGTTGATCACATTTCATTATTTGGTTTAACCAACAAAACATTTTGAGGAACAAAAGATATTGTCCTTTGACAGTTGTTGTCATGTCAATCATAACTTCTCTGCTGTTTCCGCCAAAATTCGGATAAGACCCTCGAACACAATAGTACCAATACACGGATACGGTATTTTCGGCTTATTCACGCTAAAAAAAACTAAATATGTAAACTAGTAGTAATTTAATGCTGGAAAAATTATCAGATGTGATCATGCCTCTCTTAAAACACTCCTTTCTCTTTATTTTAAAACAAATAATAAATATAAAATCATTTAGGGTATAATTTTATGTACTACTCATAATCAAACTTAAATATCATTAATTCTATCAAAATAGAACGTATAATTATAACCACTTCATTCTAAGTGATACACTTAACTTTTCTTCTTTATTCCCACTCTATCTAAACAATAACAAGTTAAGTGGAATGCGCATAAAGAAATTTAGAAGACAAAGTGACCACGATAATAAAAAATCAGAAACATAAATTTGAGATCCTTTCTTTTTGCAGGAGCGTTTAATTTTTGTCAGATGATAATAAATCTAATAAATACATTACGGGAAAAAGTTGTTTAAAGGATATTGGTGACGTTTGCATGTACTTTTTCTGGATTGGAATAGTGAAACAAAATGGCTATATTTTTGTTCATTTGTATTCTGTCTGTTACCATCGCAGTTGTTAACGGTGAAGGGGATATAATGTGTGACTGTCAAGAAGTTGGCATGTTAAAGGAAATAGTTCAAGAAGTTCTAGTAGAACAGAGATTAGAGTCTGCTAGAATTAGAAAATTAGAGGCGAGACTGAGAGTTTATGAGACAACTTGGCCAGCTCCTAGCGGTAAAATTCTTCTTCTATGTAATGTTAATATGCTAATTACGATAAGTTTTTATATCAATACAATGTCAAATTAATCCATGAATATGTGATTGAACTTTAAAACAAAACTGCATGCTTTTATAAAATGCAAACAATTCAAACAACACGAATGAAATCAAATTAATATTAACTTCATGTACTATTGTGACACTTTATATTGTAGATCGTCTGGAAAAATTAGAGCAAAACGTGAAAAATATCAATATGAAATTAAATACAACAGTCACAGGCGTCATTAATAAACAAACAGGAATTTATCGGGATATCGGTGCAATTGTGAAGAAGACGTTGATTTCAGAGAAAAATGAAAGGAACAATTTTGTTTCATACATGAATGAAAAAATAATGGAACATAAGGACATCATTGAAAATTTTAAAGATGCAATTAACAATACTATAGACAAACGCTTCCAATATATTACTGCTAAGCAAGTTGAATATAAGGACACCATAGAATCGTTCCAAATTGCAATAAACAATACTGTAGATGAACAGTTCCAGTATATTACAGCTACGCAAGTCAAATACAGGAATGAAATCAAAGATTTTTTGGATGACACAGAAAACGACACTGCTAGTTTTATCAGTACCGTATTTAGTAACATCTCTACATTTAAAAAGGAACTCATGAAGGAGATAAATGAACGATTAGATAGCATCACAGAAGTGAATGAAACTGTTCAACATTTTTCATCAGATTTAGGAAGAGTTAACAAAAGTGAAAGGGTGACCAGAGATATGGTAAATGCACTTGGTAAAGTAGTGGAAGAAGGCCAAAGTAAGCTTTATTTAATTTATTGCTTATCATCCAACTATCACAACAATTAGTATATATGTATAAAACTTTTCACATAAACGAATAAACATATAATAACGCTGAAAATCACTATATACGTCAGAAATATATAGACTAGATCTCTGTACAACCCATTTAAAAATTCATATTATCATGAGTCTTAGAAATAGAATTGTCTTTTCATGTGTCCTTGAGTTTCAACGTCATGAATGAAGATATTGTCAAGGTAGAGAGCTGGGTGACTTAAAACGGTCATAACGATTACGTATTCAATACGACCATCGTTAGACACTAATAACGTGAATTTTGTTTGACTTAGATACGACCATCCTTGTAAATTAAGTCGTAACATACAATAAAAATATTGAGCTCAAACGAAAGTTGCTATTTCTCAAGATTCATTGCATTTACGCCGAAGTACAAGAAAAATTGATAAAGAACATTGTTTCTTGCTTGAAACAATGCATCTTATAAAGGATGCTCTTTTCTGCGATAAGTTATTTTTAGATGAATAATTTATATTGCTTTGAGAATATCGTTTAAACGGATGATAAACGACAATGCGTTTTCATTAGGGACTTCCATCGCTTAGTTTAATGGTGTTTTGTAAAGTTAATATTAAATCATATTGAAGTCTGGTGCAACGTACGCTATCGATTTATACAAATTGCTAAATAATAATACTACGGTAACAAGTCGGTGGCTTTGATTTAAAAAAAAATCTAACAAAAATAAGAAAGAACTGATATTCGCAATTATTATGTCATTTTCGTCAAATATCAAGATTTTTACCTTTATCATTAAATTGCATATCAAAAACTAATATTACTTTAGTTATATAAGCAATTTTCCGCCGGCCACCGGTTCCAACTGAACTATCTAACTCGTGGGTAATTGCTTCAGGCGGTAACGAAACTAAGCTGACTGTACCGGAACTAGTGGTTGCTACTTTTTCTTGTATTATAAATGTATGTTAAAATAAGAATATTATATATCAAATATTTAGCACTTTTTCATATAGTTACGTGTGAACTTTATTCCTGCAATGACTTGCAACACGCAAGAGAAGCATTCGAAAATGCAGTTGAATAATGTCATGTAAAAGCATGCGACTCGGGGCATTGGATTTTTTTCTAGTACTGGTAAAACCACTTGCACTAGAAAATCCAGTATTTAATGTTAGATATATTAGGCAGTATCAAGAGTGTTTTAGTCTTCAATTACTAATAATAACGATGCCAAATCTTATCTTATTTAAGCATTTAAATTATTTTCTGTCTAAGTTAACATCAAAATGGCATAATCCGTAACCGATATTTGAAATTAAGGTTTTTAAAATTAAGTGAATATAACGTTGTCTTACGCCAAAACACAAATGTGCTTGGTTTAGAGGATATGCTACATACTGGCAATAGTTTCCGCATCGCTGTGGCGATGGAGCATTTGCGGTTGATAAATGTGGCTTCCAGTTCATTCTTTGCTTCCATCGGAAAGTGTGTTCATGAGTTTTACTTTAAAATCTTATGTTTACACATATGTACTCTTTCAGCTTACATCTATGTACAGTGTGACAAAGCAAGTGTCCCTACTGTATAGATCTCTTTTTAAGCAATCAACTTAGCACAACGTGGGGCCTACATTTCACACGACCCTTTTTGAATACGAATATTTCTTTACTCTAGTAAATGACATTTTACTCTTATATCATACAATGAAGGTTTTTTATTGTTTTGTTTTGTTTATTATCACATAATTTAGAAACAAGATTTCAAGTTTTTTTTTTCAATTTTTGACGATAAGTGTTTCGCGGTTTAGGGTTTAGGGTTTTGAAGTTTAAGAATTATTTTTTTCTATTTTAGGGCTGTGCGCAATCTGGTTATATAGTAAAAGCTATTGACAGGCGATTCATATTAGGAGTGAGATAATATTTTAAGATTTGAGTAATGACTGTATGTCATTTTAAAATAAGTGCATTAAAATCACGAGACAGATAATGCAATTTATATAGTTACTTTAGCCCCTTAAAATTTGATATTGATGGGACATATAACAACTGTAACGGACGGATATATCCTGTTATGAACTTCACAGCTGATAAGACATTAACATACAACAAACTTACATATAAATGAAATGTTTACTTTTTCACGGACCTTCATATAAGATAAAAATAATAACCATACTAAAATTATAGTATTCATCTTGATTATGAGACATACTGTATAAGAAACAAAGATATAAATAAAACTACAGATATGAGACGGTCTCTTTAAGAACACAAATCAAACTTGTGATTTCATGTAGAATGGCGCATTTAAGGATTGAATTGCATATATGGTTTAAATCATTGTGGTCCTTTGACCTAAAAGCTGTAAACATGCATATCTATAATAATACTAGTTTAATAATGCACATTTGTAACGGCGTTTTTCATTGGACAATATTTACGTTTATATATTCTACATACGCGACTGTTGAAAATTAATAAAGTTATTTTCATTTTTTCTCAAATATAGTACTTCTGCATAAATATTTATGCTGTTCACATACAGAAAACTCAGCTTTAATTTGTATAATCGATGAACACACATAAGTAAAACACTGCAGGAAAATGTAAACGAAATTTCATGCTAAAGTTACGTAATAGAATACACGGATCGATTGCTACATACTTAGGTAATGGAATGTTCGTATATACGCTGTCTGCGATGCAATGATATTTGTCATTTCTTTTATATACATGTACTTAGCAAACCCGAAAATTTGCATGATTGTTTTTTTAAATATCATACATACCATGCGATAATGGTCGTTTTGTACAAAATTATTCTGGTTTAAACCAATATTTGGCAAAAGCGGCGCCCTTCTTTCTTTTTAATTTAGAAAATAACGTCACGGTAAATGTCTTCATACAGCAGTTAACATTACCCATAAATCTTAATGTGTTTTAAACGCAAATCATACACATATATGCGATGACCGCTTAAAGATGAATACCCAAGTTGCAGGTGAACGGTTTCAGCAACATAATTATTATCACGTTTTAGCCGCCATGCAATCTGACTAAAAGAAGTTTTTAAAAATGATGTAAGCGAATAATAGCAAACATACTGATTTGTTGTCATTTATTACTTCTAACAATTGAGTCCTCTATTTAACAAACATTTGGCATTCCCCAGCGGTGTTAAATCAGTAGCAATAATAGGAAACAATGTATTGATATTTCAAACGTATTTTCACTGTCGTTAGAATGTGCGGTTTTGCTTTTTGTGTTGGCACTATGAATTTTATTATAGCGATCATAGCTGTTTATCAAAGTTTGTTTTACTGCATTTAATCTTATTTGAATAGCATCCGTGGATAACTTATTTTTTCAGTGGCACATACATTTTATCTACATGTTTGTCTGTCTATTTATCGGCGACGCCGGTGAGCGGCGTCGTCTCTTATGGAATGCTTTTTATTTTGGCCTATGGAAGGAGCTTTTATTATAAGCAGTTAATGTAATGTTGTGTTAATTAGTTTTATTTTGATTCGTTAAAATCAAGTAAACAAATATGTTGTTATTGGCGACGCCATCTATAAATGAATGAAAAGAATACGGCATTTATGTAGACCACAACGATATTCGAAATCCGGGTTTTAGTATTGCCAAAAAGCTAAGGGACAAGCTGTTTAACTGAGCCTGCAATTTCGTAAAAGTAATATCACAATGTACATGCTTTTTACATAAAGTTATTAAATACAAATACAAGAAAAGCATTGATGCAAAGCATCAAAGGCGACGCCAAAAATAATTAAACAAGTTTTGCACCTATATACTTAACAAAAGATGTGTACTTTGTAGCAGTACCATTACCTGTGACCTGGAGGCTTAGCCCAGTTTAAGTTGAAGAAAAGACTCAGATGCAGACAAGTGATAGTCAATTTACCAATCTTATAAGACTCATGTCACAAGAGAGAATTTCTTCAGATTCATTTTACCAGATACAAGGGTACCTGAGTCATCAGCATATAATAAAAGCTTATTGCTTAGGGTTGCAGACATGTCATTGACATATTTAAGACATGAAAGAGGACATAAAATGAACCTCAGTGGGACACCATAGGTACCCGGAGCAGTCATAGAATGATTACCAGCCACATCCACAAGCTGCTGTCAATCAACCTGGCTTGAACCATGTAAGAATGTCATTACCTATGGCAGATGCTTGAAGTTTCATGAACATATTTCACAACATATTTTCCCACTACATGTGTATATTGATTTGCGTCCTTGAATTTCTGATATTTACAGAGCATAGTGAATTAATTAAACTCAGGGTTATATGCAGTCACAGGATGAGAAAAACTTTCAGCTTGACTAGAACTCGAACCTGTGACCCACAGAATAATGTACTGCGACTTTAGCGATTGAGCTATCTGGCCGCTTACACACTTTCTCCCCTACTCCCCTAGTGTACATTTTAAACCGTGACAGATTCTTCTAACAGGTAGATTAATTCTTTGTTAAAAAATAGGGAAAAAAAACAACTTACATACTCATAATCTTAATAAAAATAATATTGTAATGGAGGGACACCAGTCTCAACCTCCAGGTCTCCAGAGTCATTCCGACCACAGACTTTTCATAGAGTAGATTGTTACTTGCCCATGAATAAAGTTGTGCACTAAATTTTATAATGGGTGATTTGTGCCACATGAAAACCAACAAAGTACACAAAGTAACCGGGCGCCAGATGAAAACAAGAAAATATAATCTACCCCAAAGTGGTTTGTTTCTTGCATTTTCATGTTTTCGCCAGGTGCCCCTGATGCAAAATACAAATCAGCCTTCATTAAATTTCTTATCATAGAAAAAAGGTTTGTTTTTATCTGTACAAAAAAATAAGTATTGTACATGTATAAGTACAGTTATGTTCACTTTCAAATTGACCTGTTATAAATAATGGCACAAACAATAACTGTCTTAAGCCCTTTTTAGTAAAAAATGATTATACAATATATAAATTGTGATTTTGATTAAGACTATGAGTATGTAAGTTGTTTCATTAAGAATTGATATACCTGTTAATTTAAAAAAGAATTAATCTACCTGTTAATTTAAAAATCTAATAGTATCTGTCACGGTTTAGAACTGTTCACTATTTAAGGGAGAAAATATGTAAGGGGCCAGATAGCTCAATTGCTACCGTCGCAGTACATTATTCTGTGGGTCATAGGTTCGAGTTCTGGTCAAGTTGAAAGTTTTTCTCATCCTGTGACTGCATATAACACTGAGTTTAATTCACTTTGCTCTGTAAACATCAGGAAATTTAAGGACACAAATCAATATAGTGGGGAAATATGTTGCGGTTTAGAAATGTTTCATTATAAAAGAGAAAATGTGTTGCAGGTCGGATAGCTAAGTTGGTCTTCTGACAGTCATTGGTTCGAGTCATGGTCAGGCAGTTTCAGTCAGGGTTTAGAAGTGGTGTTTCAACTGACACATGTTTGATTCATTTAACAGATTGTATTAAATTTGAAATGGACAAAGGCGGTATTGCATGATACTCTTAGATCTACAAAAGGCATTTGATACAGTTGATCACACTATATTGCACATGAAGAAGATCTTCTTCTTCTTTTTCTTCTTCGTGAAACTTCAAAAATCTGCCATAGGAAATGACATTCTTACATGGTTCAAGTCTTATCTCTGATAGACAGCAGCTGGTGGATGTAACTGGTAATAATTCTACTACTGCTTCAAGTACCTATGGTGTCCCCCTGAGGTTCATTTTAGATCCTCTTTTATGTATCATATATGTCAATGACATGTCTGCAACCCTAATTAATTCTCTCTTATGGCATGAGTCTTATAAGATTGGTTAATTGACTATAAATTGTCTTTGCATCTTGGCAAGACAGAGTCTATTCTTTTTGGTTTAAGTTTCAACTTAAACTGGGCCTATCCTCCAGCTCACATCTATTGGTACTGCTATAAAGTACACATCTTTTGTTAAGCATTTAGGTGCGACACTTGATCAAATTTTTTTGGCGTCGCCTTTGATGCTTTGCATCAATGCTTTTCTTGTTATAAACTTGAATAATTTAGCAGTTTTCGGTTTTTTGTAATATAAAAAGTGTTTGTAAAAAGAAAGAAAAATGGAAGTTCATCCCCTATGTAATGATACATAAAATCAAAAACATGGGCATAAAAATATTTATGTTATTGTAGTAGTTCGATTGGTTGGAGGGTCAAATCCATATGAAGGGAGACTGGAAATATGGCATGATTGGTCTTGGGGAACAGTATGCGATAATTCGTTTACTACGCTGTCAGCAAGTGTTGTTTGTAGGATGCTTGATTATCCACAGTAAGTAACGATTTAATGCATTTTTAATAACTAAAGCCAGCCAAGTGTTAAACCTTTGATTTAACTTGTTTAATGTAAGAAATCACGATTGATGCAGAAATTGACGCCCCTTGTGATTTCAAATAAAACTTATACATTTTCTACAAATGAACGGTGCCAATACGATCCAGCTATCGCACCATCTTTAGCGATTATTGCTATGGGTCACAAGGTAATATCTCCGAAAATATAGCAACCGACTCGCTCGATAATACTCTGCTAAACATATCAATATTTTCTGCCAAGCTTTTAGTGTCAGGCTTATATGTGCTGGCGGCGTAGACGGTAACTTGCAAATATCAGTACCGTTCATGAACAAGCTCAATTAATTTAGGGATATTCTATGAGGATTCTTTACACCCGAAGCAATACAATGTACATGCCAATAAGAACACAAAATCGATCCTATCAAAATGACCTGTGTCACAGTCACAACATACAGTAGATGTACATGTTGCGACCATAGATCGGACTTATTGCACTTGTAGAATTGAGCATATGTTTTCTGAAAAGTTATTTTTGAAAATGTATAAACACTTTTCAAAATTTATAAAGAAACAATTTATTCATTTAAAGCAAAGAAAACGTAGATCTAATGTACTGTTTGCCGGTGAACTGCAGTATGCATTTATAAATGCGAATTGTGAAACAGATCAGATGACATACCTATCATTTAATGGCATTGAAATGAAAGGAGCTAGATTTTTCTAAGAGTTTTTTGACACTAAGATAAACTAATGAAAACCGATTGCACTAAAGACACAATTTATAAGATTAACATGATGTTACCTCTACATACATTGAAAAAAACCCATAATTTATCTGGTCGCGCCTAAAGTCACCCTGTAACACCTCATTTTAAACTGTTATATCATTTAGTAAATAAATGTAGAAACCGATAAAATTAATGATTTATCTCTTTACAGCAACTATATAGAAGACATGTACATTAAGGACAGGTCCACATAGACAACATTCCATGTCAAATAGCTGTACTTTAGCTTTCTCCGTTTCAGTTCACATTCATTTTATGTTAAATGTATATAACGAATACTCATGGCCCCAGGGGGCGGGGCTTAATTTGACCATAAGACAATAAATTGAACTATTTCTAAAGAGATGTTCTAGCCATTGAAATTTCAGGGGATAATTTTCCTATAAGATTTTACAATGTGTACATAATGAAAATCTTTGACCTCCACTGCAGGGCCAGTTTTGACCCAGTGGTTATAGTTTAAATACTTTGCGGAGATTCACCACACAATGTTTCATGCCAAATATTTAACTACTAGCCGCATTTGTCACTTCAGAGGGGGAAAATTTGTTACGTTTTAATTATATGAAACCCGGGCAAGTGTCATTTTGTCCACAGGGCTATAATTTGGTCAAACATAAAATATGTCTACTGTACAATGTTTCATGCCAAATATCTCACCTCTAGCTTTTGCCATTTTAACAGAAGATTTTGTAACCTTTCACTTAAAACATATAAACAAAACATGACGCCCAAGGCCGGGACAAATTTTGACACTAGAGGTCCACTGAACAATATGTCATGCCAAATAGATAAGATATACGTTTCTCCGTTTCAGAAAACATTTTCTAGTTTTTTATGCTACATTCCTCCAGATGAGCCAACATGTTTGAAAACATCAAATTTGAGAAAAATGTACTAAGACTTTAAAAACGTAAAACGGTTCAAGATTCTAGTAACATTTTACATGCTATGTGTACCATATTTCTAATGCGTGACTTACGCAGTAAGCTTTCCTTGACCCCATTTTCTTGGTAATTTATGTAGATTAAAAGTGCCGTGGTAATGTGTCAATTACTTTATTTGTTCATATCACAATATTGCACAAAATTCATTTTAAATACTTTCATGACAATTAGCATAAATGTTGAAGTATGCTGCCTAATTGTATAGAAACAGTTCTCATGACCCTAGAGCCATACTTGGCCATACTTTGAGCAAATTGTGTAGAGGTCCAAAATGTTCCATGCTTAAGCACTTGTCTCTGGAGATTATGATTATAATTTTCCTTTAAGATTAAACTACATGTACATAATGACAATCTTTGACTACTGGAGCAAGGTCAAGTTTAACATCAGGACTATAATTTGAACAAGCTTGTTGAAGGTTTCATGCCAATTTTCTTATTACTAGCCTTTGTCATTTCAGAGAAGAAATTTTATTTAGCCGTTACTATATGTGTATAAGGAAAATCTATGACCACCGCAGGGACATTGCCAATTTAACCCCAGATTTATAATAAGAACACATTTGATAGAGGTCTACTAAGAATATTTTGCCAAATATCGCACAGCTAGCCCTTTGTATTTTCAAAGTCTTGTAAGGTTAACTTTACGCATATAAACAAAACATATGAACCCCGGGGATGACAAATTCTGCGATCGAGTCATAATTTGAACAATTTTGAGCTAAGCTAGACATGTTTTCAAGCCTAATACCGAACCTCTCGCCTTTGTCCTTTTTGAGAAGAAGGTTTTTATTTTTTACTAAACTATTTTATAAGAAAAAAACCATGAGGCGGATCAGATTTTGATCCTAGGTCTATGATTTGAGCAAACATGATGGAAGACTACTCCACGATGTTCATGACAAATTTCTAACCTCTAGCCTTTGTCGTTTCATAAGAGGAGGCTTTTTTAAGTTTTTACTTTATACATATGAAATATACATAAAGAAAACCTTTGATCTCCCCCGGGTGGGTCCAATTTGACACTAGAGGAAACAAAACTTTGGTAAAAGACCTATAGATGGTAACATATACTAAATATGAAAGTTCTGGGCCTTGTACTTTTACACAAGAAGGTGTTTTAAATTTGCATTTATGAAATTTCCTTACTGATCATTTCATCCACTTATGCAACAGACTGGAACAATTGAACAACTGTGAAAGGGGGTCACCCGAGGACCACTACTGTAAGGTTTGGTTAATGCTATTGGCTTCAAAGGAGTTATTGTCTTACAAAATGTTGACGAAGCACGACGCATGACGACTATCTGACGATTATCTGACTGATATAGTTTTTAAAATATCATGAAATCGCAAAGAGAGTTTCCTTACCATAATATGATCCGACTTTCGATTTTTAATCGATAATAACACGGAGAGTGAACCAAAACAAAATATTACCATGATTATGCTGTGAAATGTATGACAATTATTGAGATTATTGGATTTTGCATCTCATTAATCATAGATCCATCATCAGGTTCTCTTAGTGCAGATATACATTTTTTTCAAAAACGGCTGTACCTACTTTGCAGCAATTCTTTCAACCGTTTATGTAAATTTCTATACAATCTGTATGGTCATTTTTTAATTTTGAAAAAGAAAAGAGGAGAATTTGATGACATTTTTAAACTTGACAAACTTAATCAAATGTTATCATCTGGCCATGTGTAAGTTAAAAGAGGAATATTTTCCTCGGTATTTTGAAGAATATATTTTGGGTCTATTTTAAGGTTGTCAAAATTAGAATTAAAAGACCTTATGTTAAATTTCTTTTGGTTGTTCAAAAATGTCTTGCTACAATTTTGTTTCCTAGTTGGATTTTTACCGTTTGATGATACTCTCTCTGCATATTTAAGAGACATCTTTTATCTTGCTTAGCATATAAACTTTCTGCTGGAGATTTTTGAAATACGTCTATTGCTAAACAAAATCCTTGATGTTTGATAGTATCGAGCATTTGTAGATATGATTTGCCGAATTGTGAACGATTTTCAATCTGATGGGACTTCTTTATAATTTCAATACAACAGAAGAATTTGTTTCGCAGACGATATTATACAAAATCTTAACTACGTTTAATCCCTTTAAACATTTAGTTTTTAACCTTTTTATTTCTGGAATACACGAAACTTTATTTTTAACAATATTACTCGTTGTAATTTTGCTTCATCAACAACTTTTGGAATTTTGTAACCGGGTATGTAAACCTCAGGATCATTATAATGATGTTTCTTAATTGGCAGAAATAAAGACACTGCGTTTTTTGATTGATTTTTCAAAATTTAAAATCATTTTTTGTAACCCGTTTTTAATCTATGGTAATTTTTGTTGAAACTGACACAAACCTTTTGGACAAATTGTCTACAGATAAAGAGCAATCTCCAAAATAATTATCTTGAAGACATTTGGCAATATCGTTAATTTTTCAGGCCAGAAACTGTAACAGAAAGTTTACTTCTCTGAAGCAGACCTTGTCCTTATTGTTACTTACTTTTAGAAAAGGTTTCACCACGTCGTACTTTAAAGTTTCTGTCAGCAAGAGAGGCAGAAATAAAAACAGGATTTGTTTATTAAATCTTGAATCCTTTAAATATTTAGGTAGGATACCATATTTCCATGTTGTGTCGGATGCTTTTTCGAAATAAAAAAAATTAAAAAAACCGATACCAAGTGTTAATAATTTTCCAAAATATTCTTTAATAGCATTTTCAAGGCCAATAAGTTGATTGTACTACTTTGTTTACTGAAACATAACTTTTATATTTAATTAATAATTATTCCATGGTATTCTAAATACCAAACCAGATGATCATTTATCATTTTTTCAATTCGTTTGCATATGCAGCTATTAAAAGAACTTCAAAAGATTGATGTGACAGGTGTTTAAGAAATTGAAAGTAAATTTTATCTGGGCCTGTTGTCGTGTCTATTGTTTTTTTTTATAGAATCAACAAAATCTGCAATAGAAAAAAAAAGAATTAAACAGTTCATCATAAGCTGAAGTAAAATATAGTTTTCTACTGTCAGATTTATGCTGCAAAATGTCATACGAATAACTATTAGTAGATTTCTTTTTTAACAGATATTTTCCAAAGTGTCACAAATATCCTGTTTAAATTACTAGTGCATACTGGCCATTATTAGATTTTAGGTTTAACAGTTGGTGGGTTTGTTTTAAATTTACCGCTTATTTTTCTT